GTTTACAAAGTAGGGTTCCCAATGCATGTGATTGATGGCTATGGAGTTCAGAGAGAGACCAAATTTAAAGTGACAACAAATCAAGTGTATCAGAAGGACAGCAGAGTCACTTTGCTTTGAAAAACTAATAGGAATCAATTTTTGCCAGGGATTAGCCTTTAGTTTTAACAAAGCTACAAAAAGAAAACAGTTGGCACCTTGTGGTTTGCACAGAAGAAAAGGCTTGAACTGAGAGCAGAGTTATTAAAGCAGAGTTTGCATTTATCAATTATTTAAAAATTAGTGAGGACATTGAACAATAAAATAATCTTTTATTATTTATCTTCTTTGCATTCGGGTTTATTGACATTTTCCTAGTTGCTACAATTTTCTTAAGGAAATTGGCAAGCACTTTCTTGAGCTGGGCTAACTTGGCTTTAATTGATCTGTTTTCTGGTTTCCCCAATTTATAATTAATAGCTTGAAAAGAAAAACCCATTTATACCGCCCACCTCTGAGTAGTCCGGGCTATCTAATGCAGAATAGTGGGTAAATATATCTTTACATCTCCATCCAGCAGTCCTTCGATCATGACTCAAGTGTGTGGGCTGGCAGCACTCCCAAGTTCTGATAAAGAGACCAAGACCTCTGAGAAGGATAGGTCTGCTGTGCTGAAAATCTTGTCAAGTGTCAAATAATTGTTAGGCATTATGGGGTTTGAGGCAATCAGGGATTTACCTGACAAAAGAGGTTGGCTTTTGTTTTTTTTTAAACTGAGCAGAGAGTAGCCAAAAGTTCTTGGCAGCATTTTAAACAGCATTAAATTCCCTGGCAATGCCAAGGATCATGTCCAGGGGAAGCTGACTTTGTCACTGTAATTATTTCCAAGCTTATTCTGTTGCAAAGCAAAGATCGTTGAGGCCAGTTTTGTTGTAAGTTTTCTGAGTGTTTTACATGCAAGGTCCTTGGCGTTCTCTTCCAGACACGTGCACTCGGACCCATTCAGATACAGTGTCTTTGATTTTGCTGATAGTCTTTATTGCTTCACTTTTGGTCAAAGTCTGGAATTTAAGGTTTAATAGTCATAGAGGAAGCATTGCTTAAATTCATTGTCTTATTGTATGGAATATGTCAATATATGAGCCTGCCCAAAGAATGGGCAGCAACATCAAGGACAGGAATTGCTTCATATCAGCCCGAAATGGTTGTAAAGGGTTTACGTTTTATGTGTGCGGGGGTAGAGAGGAAGAACTTCCATCTCCACTGATCTTAATGTGTACGGGAAGAATTACTATTCAATGAACTTTTACAATATGCTTAACAACTTAATGATTTTTGCAATGAAATGGAGCATGTAAATCATTGCAAGTTTGCTTGTTAAGCTCAGCATTCTTATCAGATAAAACTGCTGCAATCCTGAATCAAGTGATGATAAGGTCTACGATATCTCACTTTTAAATGAGTGAGCAAGGAACTATTCACATACAAGGGGGTGGGTAGGGGAGTCCAAAAATTCATGGGAAATGGATTTAGAAATCATGAAATTTTTTCAAAATTCTTTTTGAATCTCTTTCAAATATGCAGTACTTTGTTGTCAAACCTAACCCATTCCAGGCAGGGATCTGAGAAAGAATTGAGACAACTTTCAGTAAAGACTGGGTGAAAACCTCTTCTGAAACCACATTTCGAGAGGGTTTTCAAGCTTCACACAAGCCTGGTTGTGATTCATCTCTTTTATAGTAACTCAGACAAAATTTATGCTTAGGAATTGTACAAATATTTATCAGACTTATGCACAACTACTAATGCCAAAGGCATAGAAATGGAATATTTTTACCAACTTCTGCAGTCTGACATTTATCAAAGAAGTGATCAAGATGTATTGAACATCACTGATGATTGAAAGCAGAAGTTGGAAAAAAAGAAGAATCAGTAGTTGGAAAATCTCATCAGTTGGTAGAAATGATGCTGGCTACTGCATTATAAAATGTTCAAGGCCAATAGCTTGCCACAACATACACTGTGACTATGAGCATGAGCCTTTCCTGATGGTGTCTACAGAAAACTGAAAACAGCTCTGGAAAGATACTTCAATGGTAAATGAGACTCAATGTCAAAACCAGAACAAGGCCAGGAGATAACTGTGGAACAGGTCCACGTGTGCCCCTATGCCAGTCCCAATGAGAGCTTCAGAAAAATAAAACCAGTCTTTGAGAACCCAAACGTGACGTTATGTCCCATCTGACTTAAAAATTGTCTCAAGAGTGCATCTAGCACAGTGAACACCACTGAAGATCGGACCAGTCATGCTATGCATCAATGATTTCATACACGAAGGAAGCAAAAGGTCATTAAAATAAATAAGAAACAAAGAAAGAAAAGACCAAAATGGATCTTAGAAGTGACTCAGAAACGTTCTCGTGAATATGGAATAGCTAAAGGTGAAGAGGAAATGTGTTGAGAATGGTGAGGGCAACGAATGTACAAATGCGCTTTACACAATTGATGTGTGTATGGATTGTGATAAGTGTTGTATGAGCCCCTAATAAAATGATTAAAAAAAAAAAAAGAAATGATGAAAGGAAAAAAGAGCTGAATAAAAAAATTGTAAGGGCAGCTTGAGGAGACACGATAAATATCCTAATAAAAGATGCAAAGATCTAGAGTTAAAAATTCAAAAGGAAAGAACCTGTTCCGAAATTCTCAAGCTGAAAACTTTAAGCCTCAAGTTGCAGTTCTGTGGATAAAATCTTGGATGGTACAGGAACCATCAAAAGAATGTGGCAGAAATACTGTCATTGTACTGAAAAGAGTTTTTTGCATAATAGTTGGCATTCAATCACTTCAAGTGGTATTATATGAGCAATAATGTAGGGAATTGAAAGGAAAAAGGCCACGCATCATTGAGGCCATTGATGAAAAACAAAGTACTCTGAATCGACAGCATATCAATTGAGGTCTTTCAGCAAACAGATGCAAAGCGAAAAGTGCTTACTTGTTTATGTCCGGAAATTTGGAAGATAGCTTCCTGGTCAACCAACTGGAAGAGAGTATATATTCATGCCTGTTTCAGTGAAAGGTATTCAACAAAATATCTAAATTATCCAATAATATCATTAATATTACATACTATCAAAATTTGCTGAAGCAATTAAAAATGGTTGAAGCAGCACATTTATAGAAAACTAAGACATTCTAGCCAGATTCAGAAGAAGACATAGACCGAGGAATATGATTGTTGATGGATCTTGGTAAAAAGCAGTGTTTTACTGTAAAAGATTCAACTGTGTAGATCATAACATTGCCAAGAATGGGAATTTTAGGCTTGAGATTAAACAAGCGGCCATCTAGCAGGGAAGTAAGAAAGTCCATATGGAAGAAGCACACCAGCCTGAGTGATCATGAGGTGTGGACAGGAATAGGTATCAGAAATTCCAAAACAAATTGACGTGAAGGAACATAGGCAAAGTGGAGATCCAAACCCACCTGTAAGATAATTGGACAGTCCCTCATAGAAGGGCCACAAGGAAGGGCTGATATATCCAGAGTACAGTATAACATTGTTGAAACACTTTACTATCCTCTAGTTCTTTAATATTTCCTCCCCCTATGATTATGGCCTTAGTTTTACCTCATTAATTTTGTTAGATTTGTGTATGTTCATTTGTACAGTAAAGATCGTTCAATGCATGAAATCCAAGAGAGATAAATCCTTCAGTAAAGTAACAGAAGTAATGATTCCCTGAGAGTATGGAAAGAGAGGGAGGGAAGTGGGGGAAAGGGGATTTGATAGCAATGATGACTGTATAACCTCACTTGAGGGGAACAAATAACAGAATGGTAGGTGAACAGATACATAGGATGATGTAATATAAGGCAAATAAATAAATAATATATGATATAATAACAAGGGTTCCGGGGGTGGGGTGGGGTGGAGGAAGGGGATAAAGGGGAGCTGATATCAAAGAGTTCAAAAAGAAATAAATTGTTTCGAAAATGATGGCAGCAGCAACTGTTCAATTATGCTTGATCTAATTGAACTATGGATTGTTATAACATCTTTAAGAGCTCCCTATAAAATGGGAAAATGTACATTTTCTTTCAGGAAATTTCATTCCTTAATGACTTCAAAAGGCAGATTGGATTGCATTGTCAATCCTTTACAAACATGTATATACTTATGAAATGTGTAATCTGGAATTTGCTTTGTTCAACCGGTTTGTAAATTTTTCTTTACCTTCCATATTTCTGGTTTTCTTCAGAACCAGCCAATCTCATCATCATTCTACTATGAGTTTAAGGATTTTGCTGCTAACATATTCAACCACTCGGCCATATCATTGTCTCCACTCTGGGCTTCGCTTGAGCATAGAAGGAAGTATTGCAGAGAAGTGGAAACTAGAAGGTACTCCCTTGGGTGAAATGATTGTTTTTTAATTAAATGTACTGTCTGGAACAATAACAACAACAAAGAATGGAAATGTTAGAACACTTACATTAGCTAACGCAGGACTTATACGTAGGCTAAGAAGCAGTCATTGGAGCAGGTCACGGAGATTCAATGTTGTTTAAAATCAGGAGAGGTGTCAGGGTTGTCATTTTTCACCATACTTATTCAATCTGTACGCATGTGCTGAACAAATAATTTGAGAGCACACTGCTTACTCATCACTCAGTCACTGATATAACAGAATATAATTGCTCCTTAGGCTTTCTAAGATTGTAAATCATTACAAGAACACATGCCTTCATTTCTCTCCTTTGGAATGGCTGGTGGATTTGAAATTCTGACTTCATGATTAATCATCCAATACATAACCCAAAGTGCCACCAAAGCTCCTTAAATAATTTGGAGAGACTGGCCTGCATGATGTTGAGTCTGGCATTGGGATGGGAGGGAGACGCATTACCCCTTGTGCTATGAAGAAGACACAGCCTTCCGAGGAGGACTGGGAGGAGCTTTTATTTAAGTTAATGATTTAATTTCAGGACAAAGAAAACAAAAGTTCTCACCACTGGGCCCGCTTCAGCAGCACATACACTCAAATTAAAATGGTACGGAGAAGAATAGCATGCTCCTTGTGCAAGGATGACACGCACATTTATGAAGTGTTCCATCTTTTAAAAAAAGTGTTAAAGAGCAAAATGTCATTGTGAGGACTAATGTATGCTTGACCCAAGCCGCTGTATTTTCAATCACTTCTTGGCAGTGAAAGCTGGATAATTACTAAGGACAACTTCAGAAGAATTAATAAATTTGAATTATGGTTTGGGCCAAAAATATTGAAAGTATCATCAACTGCCAGAAGAACTCACAAGTGTGTCTTGGATGAAGTGCAGCCAAAATGCTAACAAGTTATCAAGAGAGACCAGTCCTTGAAAAAGAACACCATGCTTAGTTAGTAAAGGGTCAAGAAAAAAGAGGAAGATTCTCCACGAGATATATTTACACAGTGACTATAACTACGGGCTCTAACTGAACAATAGTTGTAAGAATGCATACTTAATCATAGCCTTAATATAAGAACAGTGAGTTCTTTTGACATGGCCCCTATCACCCTATCGCTGACGATGTGAGTGCTGTAGCAAAGGGTGGTGAAGAAAGACTAGAATTAGAAAGAAGAGTGTCTGGGGTCTTAAAAATTTGTCTTCAAACAAACAGCCATTGAAGTGAGGTGTCAGATAAGACCACAATGAAGAAGTACACCAGCCTTTGTGATTGAAGAATTGTAAATAATAAAAACCAAATTCAGATGAGGGAACAGAATTCTGCACCTCCAGTTTGAGGAAGGATATGGATGCCCCTGAAAGCCTCAAACCCCTTTGCAGGGTCCCCTATGGGGACTGAATCTCTGTGGAATGCCTCGGTCTAGGGACCAGGGATGAGAAAGGCCTTGATGTCAAACAGTGTAGGGAGGAGGACTGCAGTTGTAGTTAAGGTAAAAATATGACACCTTGTCATCTGCTCTCCTTCTTGACCCAACGTATGATTGTTGTTCCTTTTCCCATGTCCTACTTTATTTATTCATGTTCAAACTGAGGGTTTTCTCGGTTTCATCCTGTCATTGTTGGGCTGTTTGTTGGAGTTTTATTTTGATTTTGTATCTTTTTCTGTATATGAAACCCAGGTCAACCCCCTGAGACCATCACTGGATCAATCTTTTCAAAGGGACATGGCAGGTGATGAGGGTGGGATGTGGAGAGCGAATAACAACAAGTCCAAGGAAGAGGAAATTTCCTGGAACTGACAGTGATGATGGTTGCACAGCTGCTATGAAGGTGATTGAGCTCATGAGATGTATGATGTGTGAGGTTGATGCCAGCGAAACTCTTAAACATAAATAATGAATTTTAAAATTTTGTGAGAATGACATGGGGGAAAAACCATCACAGTTGAATCAATAAGAAACAACTTAATAAACAGAGAACATATAGATATGTTGCATCTATAATCAACATCTGTGGAAGCAGCAGTCAGGAAGTCAAACTACCTCTTGCATTGAGCAAATATGCCACCAAAGGCCTTTCCAAAGTGTTAGAAAGCCAAGATGCCATTTGTATGTGCGGGACCCAGCCTACTGTCTTTTCAATTGCCTCATATGCACATGAAAGCTGAATAATGAATAATGATAAAGAAATGATGACTCTTCCTTAGCCATCTTGGTGAAGAAGATTACCGTGTTCTTTGGGGTTGCTATGGGTTGAGATTGACTGGATGGCAGGGAGTTTGGTTTGGGGCTAGTGGACTGTGAAAGGATGAACACATAAGGAGAATAGCTACAATGTCCCCTGGGGACAAGCATGGGGAGACTTCATCTTGTACAATTAGCATATGTTGTCGGGACGGACTCGTGCCTGGAGAAGATCCTGTTTGGTAAGGTAGACGGTTAGTGAAAAAGAGGAAACCCTCGATGAGATACAGAAAAACAAGGGCTCCAACAAGGGCACAGTTATGAGAATGGTATGAAGCAAAGCATGAAAGACATCGGATTGCTATGAATGGAAACTTGTTCAATAGCATTTAACGACAATTAGTGCATGACACCAATTTTGTAGTTTGTAGAATTTGTCTTTAAAGAATAAAACAAACAAAAATCCGTTTGAATGGACTCTAACCCATTGGGACAGAGTAGAACTGTGCATTTAATGGCTGATTTATGGAAAATAGATCTCCAGGCCTTTCAGTTTTGAGGTGCTTCTGGGTGGGCTTGAGCTAGCAGACTTTCAGTAAGTAGCTGTACACCTGATTTGCTTGCATACACCCAGGGACCCCTTAACGAACAAGGGAGGTATTTATTGGACATCTACAGTGTCAGAGTTGGAAGCAACCTTTGACATCATTTGATCAGTCTTTCTCATTTTCTAGGCAAAGTTCGACACTATTATATGATTTGGTAACACCACAATGTTAGCGCTGAAGGTTCTATATCCATTGTGACTTTGCCTCACTCGGTAGGAAAACAAGAAGGATTTGAAATTGCATGAAAATAATGATCCACGTGCTTGGATGTAGTCCAGGCATCTTCACAGAGCGCTTGCTCCCTTGGAAGGCCATCGCAGAGGTCATCCGTCCTGTTATTAGGGATTCGGTTCCTGTTGCCATTGACTTTTTCTCAGTGATGTGGAAATTGAAAAGAGGGAGATAGATATCTGAACACCAGTGTGCGTTGCAGTCCATACACAAACATACAGTGGGATGCTATTCAGCAAAAGAGAAAAATGAAGTGTTCAGGTACATGCTACAATGATGAATTGAATGAATTGAAAACATGCTGAACAAAATAAGCTAGACACAAAGGGGAAAATAGTGCAGGAACCCACGTGTTTGAAATACATAGGATCAAGAAAGGCATGGGAAAATCATTGATTAGAGGCTATCGGAGCTCGAGGTGGGATTGGGGAGATACTGCTTAAAGGGTATGAGTTTCTGTGTGGGGTGATAAAAACATTTGGAAATGGATAGTGGTGATGGCAGTACTACCTGGTGAGTACAATCAGTGTCACTGAATTGTATACCTTAATAGTATGTATATTTTACCACAATAAAATTATTTTTACAACATACATAAAAGAAAACATGTTTTTAGTGACCTTTTTCTTTCGTGGTACTTATTTCACTTTGTGTCATCTTAGTGTTTTATTACTGGTGGGGGCATGTCATCCTTCAAACTTACTTTTGTTTAGTTAGTTAGTTTTTACCACTCCTGGAAATAGCTTTTATGAAGTAGCTGACTTGAACTCTGAGACTTAATATTTTATATCAATGAAATTGCCTACAAATAGAGTTTATGCTATCATAGTCTAGGAAAACAGAATCCTGGTAGTGCAGTAGGGTAAACATTGAACTGCTATCTGAAAGATCTCATTTCAAACCCAGCAGCTGCTCTATGACAATAAAGTGAGGCTCCCCGCTCCTGTAGCTATTTCCAGCCTCAGAAACCCTGTGGAGCAGTTCAACTAGAGGGATGCTATGAATCATAATGACTTTATGGCAGTGGATTTATGCAGAGAAAATATTTGATGTATATATTCAAGCGTTCAAGATCTTGAAATTTTCTAGTGAAATTGGTTATACATGGAACCTGAGTAATTGACACTAGATGAGTCTATATTTTGAATATAGACTTTGTGGATATATATCTGATATCCACAAAGGTAGCCACTTTTTAGTAGTATTGCAGTAGATGTCTTACTGGCATTCCAATGGCTAAGAAATGCGCTCTGTAAGATGGTAACCACACAATATATGTGAGTACTTAAATTAGAATTAATTCAATAAATTTCAAATTTTAGACCCCTGGTCACAATAACTACATTTCAAATATAAAGTTATCACATGTGAAACATAGAGATTGGACACCTCCCGTATAGAAAGTTTTATTGGACAGCATTACTCTGGAAATATAAATGCTCTGCCCTAAAATCTTTGCTTTCCAAATATCTACTATATTTTAACTATTTAAGTTAACAAGCAAGTGATGTTCACAGATTCTTCAATCTAGATTGTGTCTATTATTTAGTTCAGTAATTCATTCTCCTTTTGATTAATCTTTATTAAACTCTGCTATTGAATTCTTATTTTCAGTTATTGTGTCTTTCAGTTCCAGTATTTCTTTTTTATTTTAAAAAGTAAATTCTAGTTATCTTGTAAAGTCCTACATATTTTGATTTTTTTCTTGATTTACTAGTGATTTAAAAGTTTTAATAATTATAATATTAGTATCTCTAGTGATGCAGCTTCTTCTGATGAATTTATTCTCTTGGCTTTTGGTTACTTCCCTTGTTTTCCATCTTTCTGGAAACTTGGCTATTCAAGTCAGGGCTGTCATGACTACCTGCTCTGTCTTCAGAAAGTTGTATGTTGCCTTCTATCCTGACTGTGTAAGGATTTCTTGTGAGATAGTTATACTGAGTAAACTAGTCTGCCGTGAAGGGGGCCGAAATCTAGGATCCTGCTGTCATATGCTTTTCAACAAATTTGGGAACTGTTTAGTATGCAGTGTGCAGTTTGGGGCTCTGAAAGCCATTAAAATAGCTCTTTTTAATTTTGTTAGTTAAACTTTCCATTTATTTCTTTATTAATATATATTCTGCTATTACAAGACAATCTTTAGGTATTAAAAAATGAAAATATTTTAAGTTGACATAGGTTTGCATATAATTTGTGTTCTTTCAAATCTTACTTCGGTTTGATAACATAAGAATCTGCAGGCTTGTTTTCTCTATGGCTCCCCGTACAATTAGATGTGCACCAATCATTTGCCTAGGTGGCTGGAATCTTACAAAGAGTCTTTCTGTCACAGTCTTACTACCTTATGGAAATTTTAGACTGGACATAAGGAATACTGGACATAAGAAGAGTTGCAGCTCATCCACCTCTGTTGTTCTTGCTTCTAAAATGTTAACCTTCCAGGAAACCACTGTTTGAAGATGCCTGGCAGGGTGGGTGTAGGACTAGAGACTCACTAAAGCCTATACTTCCTTTGAAGGTTTACAATCCTTCAATAGAATGGTAGATGGAAAATGTGTACAACCCATGAGTTCCACTGCATGGACTGGATGGGTTGGTCCGATCCATGGCAGCCATGAGGGGGAACAACAACAATTTCGGATTGTCAAATTTT